TCCATCCATCCACCCACCCATCCATCCATCCATCCATCAACCCATCCATCCATCCACCCACCCGTCCATCCGTCCATCCATCCACCCACCCATCCATCCATCCATCCATCAACCCATCCATCCATCCACCCACCCGTCCATCCGTCCATCCACCCATCCATCCATCCGTCCATCCATCCATCCATCCATCCATCAACCCATCCATCCATCCATCCATCCATCCACTCATCCATCCATCCATCCATCCATCCATCCATCCATCCATCCATCAACCCATCCGTCCATCCATCCACCCATCCATCCATCCATCCATCCATCCATCCATCCATCCATCCATCAACCCATCCATCCGTCCGTCCATCCATCCACCCATCCACCCACCCACCCACCCACCCATCCATCCGTCCGTCCATCCGTCCATCCATCATCCAATAAGTATTTATTGAACTCCTATTCTGAGTCAAGGATCCTGCCAGATCCTGGATTGCAATAGGGAGGAAATCATTGCAGTCCCTACCCTCTGAGAACTTACAGTCCACTGGAGGAGATAGACGTACTCACACAGTCACCCAAATAAATCTGTTTTTACGGATTGTGTAAGTGCTGTAAAGGACTTCCCAGGTGTGGGCTAATGTGTGACAAGGCATTTGTAATAGTGCAGTGAGGCAGGGACTTCCCCAAGAAAGTGACATTTGAGTAGGATCTAATAGGATAAAGAGGTGGGGCAGGTTCATTCCAGGCAGAGGAAATAGCATATGCAAAGGCTCTGAGGAGGAGGGAACATGGGCTCATTTTAGTTTCTGAACAATCCTAAAAAATGTTTCGTCGGAGGGCAGAGAGCCTAAGGAGCTGCAGAGGTGGGCAGGAGTCGGATCATGCAGGGCTTTGAGGGCCTGGGCAAGGGGTTGGGGAACCTGTCAATGACTTTATTTTCTCATCTGTAAAATGGGGATAATCATAGTCCCTACCTCAGTATGTGTGAGAATCTGTGGGCAGCTGGGTGATTCTGGCTGTCGGCTGGTCTGGGATGGTCTCAGCTGGGCCATCATCCCTTTTCCATGTGGTCTCGTCCTGCTGCACGTTAGCTCGGGTTTGTTCACGTGGCAGCACCTAGGCTCCAAAGAGCAGCAGAAAGCGGCAAGGCTTAGAACCGGCACAGCGTCACTTCCGCTGCTTTCTGTTGGTCCAGGCAGACCACAGGGCCAGTCCAGATCTCATGAGCGCGTGTGAAGTTCTTAATACAGTGCCTGGTGCATAGGAAATGCTCTTTAAACGCTATTATTATTGTTGTTATTGATGTTATCGCTATGTATTTGCATAGCACTTTATACTTTCCAAAGTTTTATCCCATACATCATTATACCCTACACTGTGTGAGGACAGTTGGGGCAAATATTTCTAGCCCCATTTGACAAATGAAGAACAGAGTTTAAATAACTGCCCAAGGCCGCACATTAGCTAGTGGCTGCAGCTAAACAAAGAACTCAGAGATCATGTAACTTCAAGCATAGTCGCAAACACATCTGCTGAAAATGAACCATTTGCAGATGATTTCATCACCCTGAGCATCATCTTGTAAATAAAATAATTCAGATACAAATGCTTTTGTCAGAGGCCCAGGCGAGTGGCTGTCTGCAAGGTTTCCTTATGGTCTCTGAGATCTAAGTCTCCTGTACAAGTTTTATTTTTGGCTCCCAGGCTCCCTGGGGTGAATGATGGTTTTCTTCTTTTTTACCCAGAGAGCCTCTCTTTGGACTCCAGTTGCTTTTCTTCTCCTCCTGTGAATTTCCTTCAAGAATTGCCAAGCTACCGGTCTATTGCGCGCAAGAGGACGACCATCCCTTCCCGAGACAAGCAGAGGGACACTTTGCTGAAGCCGACAGACTCCTACAGCTCCCAGCTGGAGGGTGGGATCACTGAAAACCTCAATAGCCAATCCATTCGCAAGTACGCACTGAACATCTCTGAGAAGCGGAGACTAAGGTCTGTTCATTAGCCGTTTGGGAGGCATGTGATGTATGTTTTGGGCAGAGGTGTGTTTTATGCATGGAATGCATTTCCTGAAGAGTTCACATAATTAAAAGTTTATTAGTTAGGGTAAGCTAAGCTGCTGTGATGAAGTTACCTAAACATGTAATAGCTCAATATTTTAGAAGTTTATTTCTTGCTCCCATAAAAGTCCTGGGTTCGGGTCAAGGGGGAACTTTACAGTCATTCGGAGACCCAGGCTCCTTCCATCTTGCAGCTCTGCCACCCCCTCAAAGCCTCATTGTTGTCTGCAATCACTCTCTATTTCCCCCTCCCTCCAGCCCCTGCCAGCCATTAATCTACTCTCTGTCTCTATAGATTTGCCATTCTGAACATTTCATATACAGTCATGCGCCGCATAACAACATTTTGGTCAACAACAGACCGCATATATGATGGTGGTTCCATGAGATCAGTACCATAGAGCCTAGGTGTGTAGTAGGCTATACCATCTAGGTGTGTGTAAGTACACTCTGTGATGTTCACACAATGACAGAATCCCTACTGACCCATTTCTCAGAACGTATCCTTGTCGTTAAGCAACGCATGACTGTAAATGGAATCATACAACATGTGACCTTTTCTGCCTGGCTTCTTTCACTTAGCATGTTCTCAAGGTTCATCTAAATTGTAGCATGCATCAGTACCTCATTCCTTTTTATGGCTGAGTAATATCCCATTGTATGGGTATACCTCATTGTGTTTATCCATTCATCCATTGATTGACACTTGGGTTGTTTCCACCTTTTGGCTCTTGTGAATAGTGCTGCTATCAACATTCATGTACAAGTGTTTGTTTGAGACCCTGTTTCCAGTTCTTTGGATTACTACCTAGGAGTGAAATTGCTGGGTCGTATGGTAATTCTGTGTTTAACTTTTTGAAGAATGACCAGACTTTTCCCTAGCAGCCACGCCATTGTACCTTCCCACCAGCAATGTATGAGGCTCCGCGTTTTCCACATCCTCTCAGCTGGGGTTTTATTTGATGCCGAGGCTTGGCGATGCTGCCATGGTCATTGCCTTGCTCGTTTTTTAATGCAGGGACATTCAGGAGACCCAAATGAAGTATTTATCCGAGTGGGACCAGTGGAAACGGTATAGCAGCAAGTCTTGGAAGAGGTTCCTAGAGAAGGCTCGAGAGATGACCTCCCACCTGGAGCTGTGGCGGGAGGACATTCGCAGCATAGAAGGTACCACACCCCACACTCTGCACGTTCTCCTCCGCAGAAGTCCTCTGTGCCCAGCAAAAACGTACAGCTTCATTTTCACTAACCTCTAGCTGAAATTTAGCACTTTCTTCCAAGATGAGTGGAGCAACACCACACTTAGGATTAGCAGGACCTCTGTCTTTGTCACCAGGAAAATCACAGATGTTTTTCTGTCCCTTCCAGTTCTAGTAGTTATCTTGGAATACCATTTGTGCTCATCACTACTTTGAAATTATAGCCATTATTAGGTCTGTCACTGGAGGGGCCGGCCCGATGGCGTAGTGGTTAAGTTTGCTCTGCTTCGGCAGCCCCAGGGTTCACTGGTTCGGATCCTGGGGGCACACCGAGGCACTGCTCATCAAGCCATGCGGTGGCGGCGTCCCATATACAAAATAGAGGAAGATTGGCGCAGATGTTAGCTCAGAGCCAGTCTTCCTCAGCAAAAAGAGGAGGATTGGCAACAGACATTAGCTCAGGGCTAATCTTCCCCACCAAAAAAAAAAAAAAAATCTGTTCCTAGATCTTGTTATTTAATGTGCTAATGAAGATGCATATGTATTAATCTATCACAAATTTAGTTTTTAATTTTATGATAATTGTAGGTCCATTTGTATTTTGTGCATTTAAAAACATTATTCCAAGATGGGGCTCATTAGGCTTCACCAGACTGCCAAAGGCACCCATGGCCCTGAAAATCCTGAGAATCACTACTTTCCCATAATGGTGAGAGTGGGGATGTGGTATTGCATTAGTCAGCTCAGGCTGCCCTAACAAAAGACCACAGACTGGGTGGCTTAAAAAACAGAAATGTATTTTCTTACAGTTCTGGAGGCTGGAAGTCCAAGATCAGGCCACTTTCTCACTGTGTCCTCCAATGACCTCTTCTTTGTGTACACTTGAGGGGAGAGAGGGAGAGAGAGCACGTACTCTGGTGCCTCTTCTTACAAGAGCATTAATCCCAGCATGAGGGCCCACTCTCATGACCTAAGGCTCATTTCCAAATACTGTCACATTAGGGGTTAGGGCTCTAACATATGAAGGGGGCGGGGAACACAATTCAGCCCATAGCAAGTATGCAAAAATTGGAAGTTGTGCCAAAATATAAAATTAGAAAAAACATTTAAACCTTTGAGTGACATAGCAGAGCCCAGGGAAGATACCTCTTAGGGTTACATAGTTTCTGTCATAAAGCAAAACAATTTACAAGCACCTCCTTGAAACTGCTAAAATGGAAATTTTATAAAGTTTGTAAGGAATGGGGCAGGATAAATGGAAGGAATTGTTGTCCCCATTATTACTATTTTAAGACCTATAAAATACCATTGGTAATCTGTTCCATGAACTACTTTTTTTATTGTTGTTTTCTTGGGAGAATATGAACATAACGTCCAAGGAGTTTCATAGGCTCACTTAAAACTTCAACCATCCAGTACTTTTTCTTTTTTTTTTTTTTTTTAAATTTTAAGATTTATTTATTTATTTTCGCCCCAAAGCCCCAGTAGATAGTTGCATGTCATAGCTGCACAGCTTTCCAGTTGCCGTATGTGGGACACGGCCCCAGCGCGGCCGGAGAAGCGGTGCGCCGGTGCGCGCCCGGGATCCGAACCCGGGCCGCCAGCATCAGAGAGCACGCACTCAACCGCTAAGCCACAGGGCCGGCCCCAGTACTTTTTCTTTTGAGATCCAACTGTAACATCATGTTTGGAGCAAAATAATAGAAGCTGACCTTTACTGAGCCTTTACTATGAGCCTTTACTATGAGGCAGTGTGTTAAACGTTTTTCTCGTATCATCTCAGATAATCCTTACAAGAACCTTTCCTATAGGTATTTATCATTTGCATGGCTCAGAGAGGTTAATATACTTGCCCAAGGTTGTTTCACAAGGACAGGGCAGACCCAGGATTTGAGCCCAGGCAGTCAAGCTTCAGAGCTCAAGGTTTCGGTGGCCATGCCCAACTTTCCCTCTTATTAAGTGATGGCGTTTCTGGAGATTTTTCATTCAGAAAGTGGCTTGTATGTTGGATGGTGATTTCTCTCTGGCGACCTGGGATCTTGATTCTCTCTTCAATGGCTCCACTCCTATGATTTCTTGGCTGGCCAGGTACTTCTCTGGCAGGAAGTGAAGATGTGATCATCAAGCTCCTTGCTCTGGCCTGGTTGCTGGGTTTAGAGAAAAGCAAAGACTGTGGGTCTCTTATATCTTCAGTCTCAGAAGATAAGTTCTTTGCCCCCACCAAGAGCAAGCAGACACCCTCACTCTGCAGAGTGCTTTCTGTCTGTCCTTAGGAATTTAATTATTATCTGGTGGAAGGTTGGTTTTTTATTTGAAAATCAATTAAAGTAATTCACCACATTAACAGAATAAAGAGGAAAAATTGTATGATCATCCCAACAGCTGCAGAAAAAGTATTGATAAAATTCAATTCTCATAGCAAATAGATGGGAACTTTCTTAATCTGGCAAAAAATATCTATAAAAATTCTTCAGCAAGCATCATACTTAATGGTGAAATATTGAAAACTTTTCCCCTGAGATTGTGAATGAGAAAAAGGGTGCTAATTATCACTGATTCTATTCAATGTCATCCTGGAAGTCCTAGCCAACGCACAATGGTGAGGGAAAAGGGGTAATGACTGGAATGGAAGAAGTAAAATGTCTTCTTTTTGCAGATGACGTGATTTATTTGTAGAAAATAAAAAAGACAAACTGTTAGAATTAATGTGTGAATTTAGCAAGTTTGCTAGATACAAGATCTATATATAAAACCAATTGTACTTCTATATACCAGCAACAAAAATTTAGAAGATGAAATTTTTTTTTTCTTAACTTGGGTTTTTTTTTTTTTTTTTTTTTATTGATGTTTTAATGGTTTCTAACATTGTGAAATTTTGGGTTGTACATTTTTGTTTGTCCATCACCATATATATGACTCCAGAAGATGAAATTTTTAAAATGGTACAATTTACAAAAGCATCAAAAAACATCAAATACCTAAGAATAGATCTAAAGAAAAATATGTAATAGTTCTGCACAGAAAACTATAAAATATTGTTGAGAGAAATTAAAGAACCTAAATATACTGTGTTCATGGATCAGAAGACTCAATATTGTAAAGAGGTCGCTTGTCCTCAAATTGACCTATATGTTCCATGTAATCCCAATCAAAATCTCAGCAGATTTCGTGTATGTGTGTGCATGTGTATGTGTATATGTGTGAAAATTAATATGCTGATGCTAAAATTGATATAGAAAAGCAGAGAGCCAAGGATACTTGAGGAAGAACAAAGCTGAAAGACTTATAGCACCATCTACAAAGTATTATTATAAGTCTACAATAATTAGACAGTCTGGTATTGGTGCAAGGATAGACAGATAGCCCAACAGAACAGAACAGAAAATTCAGAAAGAGATTCATACATTTATGGTCAATTACAAAAGCACTACTTCAATTCATTGGGGAAAAGATAGCCTTTTCAATAAATGGTGCTGAGTCAATTGCATGTTCATATGAGAAAAGATAAATATTGAATTCTCCCTCACACCATTCTCAAATGATTAATTCAAGATTGAGTGTGGATTTAGAGGTAAAAATTTAAACCATTGGGAAGTAGAACCTTAAAGCCAACAGTAGAAAAAATAAACTGTTTCTTTCTCCTTCCCCCACCAAGATTCCTCCAACTTCAGCCCACTGTGGCTGATTGAATCTACTGTGGATAGTGAGTCAATGCTGCTGGTCAATGATGTCTGGATTTCTTTTTTCCAGGGAAATTTGGCACTGGGATTCAGTCCTATTTCTCCTTCTTGCGGTTTCTGGTGTTGCTGAATTTGGTGATATTTCTGATCATCTTTCTGCTGGTTTTGCTCCCAATCTTGCTCACGGAATACAAGATCACCAACAGCAGCTTTGTACTCGTCCCGTCCAAAGACAAGGGTGAGTCTCAGGCCCGGTTTGCCATGAAGAGTGTTCTGTCCACTGTGTGCCTAGTTCCCATGCTTCGTTCTCTAGGAATGTTTATGTTCTAAGTCTTGGGTGACTGTGTTAGTCAGGATGGGCTACGTTATGCCACAGAACGGGTGACCTCATAACTCTTGGCGCCTAATAACCACAAAGATTTCTTTCTTGCTCACAGTATGTGTCCATCACTTTTTGGTGGTGGCTTTGTTCCATGATGTCTTCACTCTGGAGCCCAGGCTGATGGAGCAGCCTCTATCTGGACCATTGACGGTCACCATGTCCAAAGGAAAAAGAGCCATGGCAGATGTGCTGGCTCCTAAAGCTTCCACCTGGAGATGACACCCGTCATTTCTGCCAGAGCTCGTTAGCCAAAGCAAATCACTGGGCCGCTCCTGAATTCCGAAAGGCGTTTGGATAGAGCACCGCAGGGTAGAAATGTGGAATATTTAGCAAACACGATACAATCTGCTCCAGTGACTTTAGCCAAGACTTTTATCTCTGGTAACGGTGATGCTCACCTCCGTTTATTAAACACCAGTCATGTGCAGACACTGTGGCAAGTGCTGGACCTGTGTTTCCTTACTGAATTCTCAGCATAAGTCAGTCCTTCTGAGTGTCCTGTTTATTCGAATGGGGAGGGTTTCTGTCATTCCACAGAAATTTGCTGATTACCCCTGAGTGCCAGGCTCTGTGCTGGGAGAGGAAGTGGATGGGCGGAGTCGGGGCCAGGCCTCTCTAAGTCCTGAGAGCTCCTGCTTCTATCACATTACTCCTTTCCCCAGGAGAACCCCCTCTAGAATCACTTCTGTGGCCCTACATCCTCCTCATCATGTTTGTGTCTTTTTCAATTCTATGACACTTCAGAATAAAATCAGAATAACACGGAAACCCTGACTTCGTTCAGGACCCTTGTATTGAGTGCCTGCTGTATGCCAGATGCTGCATTCGCATTTTCTAATAGGTCCATTTTACAGAGAAGCATTACCTGCTGCTGTGTGGAAATTGTGGGTTCAGTTTCCAGGCCCAGCTCTGCTGTTGATCAGACTTTCTGAGCCTCTGTTTCCGTATCCATAGAACGGAGGTGATAACTTAAGCAATGAGACAATATTTCATTATTCAAATAACACCTCACTATTTAATACTTAGCTCATTAATAATATTTGCTTATTTTAAAATTGTAAATAATTTAAAATAGTAATATAAATTATATTATTTAATATAGAAAATTTTAAAACTGTAAATAATTATTATTTGAGCAATACTCATAATTTTAAAATGAGTATTGAATAAGATGATACATTGCTTGGCACGTGGCAAGTGTCAATAAGTGGCAGCTGTCATTTTTTTTAGTGTTATTTCTTTCCAGAAGAACTGAATGCCATTCTCTCTCGCACGTGAATCTGGGGCCTGGGCGCTTAACCACTAGACTCAACGGCCGTGGGCTTCACCCTCAGCCATTAGCAGGCCCTTGGTCTGGGGAGGCCCCCTTCCTGGAGAAAATGGAGCTGGACTCTAAGCGTGGTCACCTCGCATCTCTTCTTTCTCCTCGTTATTTCCTCTGACTCCATCCCCACCTTGCACGCATGCACGCACGCACTTTTTTTTTATTAACTTACCTAGTAAACTTTGTCCTTGAAAGAAAGGATCGGAAGTCCCTCTCTAGCTCTTCTCACCATCCTTCCCTTCGTCGTGCCTTCAGCAAGTGTTTATTGAGCACCTACTGTGTGTGAGGCCCTGAGCCAGGCACTGAGACTTCAACAGGGACCCCACACCTGCATCCACAGCGTGAATGCGCTCTAGCAGAGGATGGGCGGTAAGGAAGTGACCACGTGAAGAAGCGTATAGGGTATAAATCGGGCCATGGGGGAAGGGAAAGGATAAGGTGCTGACAGGCTGGACACCAGGACCTGGGAGCTGGGGGGTCCCCGCAGCCCCCTGTGAAGACAGGGACATGTAAGCCGAGCCCGGGAGGCTGAGGAGAGGGCAGCCGTTGAAGAGCTAGAGGAAGCGTCTTCATACAGAGGAACAGCAGCTGCCAAGGTCCAGAGCTCGACAGTAGCTCAGCGTAGTAGGGAAACGAAGGGCCTGGCGCGGCTGGTTGGCAAACTTCCCCTAAAGGGCCAGAGAGTCAATATTCTAGGCTTTGCAGGCCATACAGTCTCTGTTGCAACTATTCAACGCTGCCGTGTGGCCCAGAAGTGGCCATAGACAAATGTCGTGAATGGGTGTGGCTGTGTTCAGATAACGCTGATTGACAAAAACAGCCAGCTGGCCAGCTTTGGCCCCCGGGCGGTAGTTTGCTGACCTCTAGGCTAGAGGCCGGTGAGTGAGGAGCCGAGTGGCAGGCGTCTCCTTCCATCTTCCTCACGCCTCTCCAAATAGAATGACCGTCTTCCTCCTCTCTGCACATAATACTGTGTTCATGCAACCATCTGAGCGCCTTGTATAAACCTAACTGCTGTTTGTCTTTCTCTACCACTTGATGGCGAGCATTTCAAGGGCAGGAACTGCTTCTTACTCATCTTTTTAGCCCCAATATCTACCCGGTGAATAGGATTAAGAAATGATTGTTGAATGAATTAATGAACACAGGCATGTTCGATTCTAAAATGGCGGAGCTGCAATTGGCCTTGGATAACTGGTTCAGCTCCCTTATTTTAGCAAAGGGGAACCTAAGGTCCAGAGAAGGGGTGGTAGTTTGGATTATTTTCCCCAATTTGTCACTCCCCTGTAATTGTGACTTTGCAGGGCCTCCCACTGTGGGCAGAGAATACTTCCTGCCCCATTGATTTTGCATTTGGCCACGTGACTTGCTTTGTCCAGTGCAGTGTTAGCTGAAATGGCTTTGTGTGGTGGGCTCGCCTTATGAGAAGAGCCATGAGGAGAGCATCCCCTGGTAGCCATTGCCTCTTCAGCCTGGGCCCCAGAATGAAGTCATATGGGGCAGACCTGAGCCGAACCGGAAGCCTGAAGTCCGTCCTGGCTCAGCCTAAATCAGCCGAATGAACTCAAACTGCAGATCCGTGAATGCAAAAGTAAATGTCTGGTGTGTTAACTCACTGAGACTTTGAGGTTATTTGTTACACAGCAATAGTTGACTGATACAGAGGAAGCAAATTAGTTGTTCAAGGATAAGGTAGTGTCACTAAAATTGGTATTCCAACAATTTCTCAGTTAATTACACATATGTAAATATATGTGATTTTGAATAAAACTGCATGTTTATTTACACACACATAGAGATCTTTTAAAATTGGATTTGCTTAAAATGCAATAACAATTATATCAATCACATATTCCGAAACATATGCAAACATGAACCCCAAAACACAAAATACCAATACAAGCAGAAAACATTACTGTAAGTGAACCCACATACAAAATGTATAGAAAAAACATATATCCCCGGATGTTTGGGGAGAAGAGTGAAAGGGAAGAATGCTATTGTCCTTGGTGCACTGGGGTTTGGACTACAGATAGAAAATCACAAATTCACAGACACATCTGTACACAGTTATATGTGACATATCTAAGTGTATATACATATACATGCACATATACACAAATGATGATGGACAAGTTATAGAGACTGTGAAACGATTTCCACTGATGTTCTTGTTTTTTGTTTTTTACAGATATTCAATGCACAATATATCCCATAAGTAGCTCTGGACTCATTTACTTTTATAGTTATATCGTAGACTTGCTCTCTGGCACTGTAAGTATTTAACATAATTCTGCATTTGGACCCTCAATATACTGCAAATAGGTTAATTTAAAGATCGGTTTCCTGAATGTCTGCAGTAAGAGTCAAACACCGGTTCACACAAGTCCCAGTAAAAGAAACAGGATTTGCAGTGACCTCATCAGCAAGGATAATGTTCACCCAGCCCCTGCTAGAATATACAGGAAATATGCTTTGTCAGTTTCAACCACTGACCTTTTCCCAGTCTCTGCCACCTTCATATTGACCTGCGACAAAATACTGAATTCCCCCATCGAAAGAAATTTCAGTGAAAATAAACCCAGAGAGAATTTATTTAATTTCTCTGACATTGAAAAACCTTAACATTTTGAGGTCCCCGACCACCTGGATGAAAACCGTGGCTCTTCTCCTCAGAAATTACACACACGACATGCGTGATGCACACGTGCACACATATACCCTTATATGTGTATGCACACATCACGTTTGTACACATAGACACACATTCCCTAAAATCTCTTAGAAGTCTGTTAATCCCAGGTTAACACCACTTGCTTTAAAGTGGAATTAATTGCCTCCTTCTTATTGTAGTTCTAAAAGGTTTTTTTTGTCTTCTTCCTTCTAAAAAATGATTTTTTGGTGAGTTTTCATTTTTGTATCCCACTTTTTTCAGCAAATAAGATTGCAGCCATGAAAAGTGGCCGTCTCTGCCCTCCAGACCAGGATTTCTCAACCTCGGCACTATTGACATGTTGGGTCCAATAATTCTTTGCTGTGGGGCTGGCGTGTGCACTGTAGGGTGTTCAGCAGCATCCCCGGCCCCTACCCACTAGATGCCAGTAGCAGTGCCACAGTTGTGACAACCCAAAATGTCTCCACACATTGCCAGATGTTTCCCGGGGGACAAGACTGCCCCTGGTTGAGAACCACTCCTTTAGGTGCTTAAAAAATACAAATATATAAAAATATCCTTCTGAAAGTTACAATCTTAAAATGCCACGTCATTGAACTTCACTTTTCTGAATAGAGAGGTAGAAAGCTTTGAGTTTATCCACTGCATTTGATTTTGAAAAAGTGGTTTTTACATCTCTGAGCTCTTGTTTTCCTCAAAACAACTGAGGGGAATTGTCAGGTGGGTGTTAAAATGTCCATGAGGCAAATGAGAAAACTGATACTATGCAAATGTCCACGATGCAAATGAGAAAACCGATACTATGCAAATGTCCACGGTGCAAGGAGACAAGAAATTCAGTGACTCACCCAAGGTCACACTGCTGGTGAAAACAAAGTAGGATCAAGTCCCAAAACTGCTGTTAGCCCCATTTCTTTAGATTATATCTCACAAGAGGAATTTCTGTTTGTAGATTTCCACACACCATAACCTTATTCTTTATAGGAAAGATTTTATAGGAGACTTAGATGCACTTAATCACAAAGGATCATAAATATTCAATAAAGTATGCATGATAAAGAATGGCCCTGTCCAAAAGAATTTTCTACAATGATGAGAATGTTCTGGATCTGTGCTATAAAATGCGATAGCCACTAACTCTGGAGCACTTGAAATGTGGCCCGTGGGACCAAGACAATTAAAATAAAATTTTAATTTTATTATTAATAATTTAGATTTAAATAGGCCTGAGAGAGAGATAGGCAGAGAGGTCTCACAATGGTTTGTCTTTACTAAAAGCAGTTGAGCCAAGCTCATTATCAAATCAGAAAAATTATTTTCCAGGCCCAAGGGACCTTCACCCTGTAATGTTACCTTATTTTGAGAGATTGCTGACAGCCCTGATATCAGCCCCAGGCAATATAAACAGGTTTCATGTCATTGGGCAAGTTTTTATGGCCTGTATGCCCTGCCTTCAGGAGAGGTAAAAAGATGGAGTCTTCAGTTTCTACATTTTTTTTTTCTATTAAAAATTTACTTAATTGCTCAGTATAAGAATACATGGTTATCATAAAAAATATAGAATTTATAAAATAAAAAGTGAAAGTACCCCTCCCCTGAGGCCACTGAACTGTAACAGCATGGTTCATAGCCTTCTTAACCTTTCTCTTGCATTTACATGGTCTTGCTTACTATTTTATAGTATGGATTTCTCACATCTAGCCAGTGCCTTCTTGATGGACATTCAGATTGCTTCCGTTTTCCCCCTTTATAAACAATGCTGTACTGAACATCTCTGTGCTGCCTATACTATTTCTGCCATCTGTGTATGTTCTCTTCCTCACTCTCCTAGAATTTTCCTGCTATCAAGGAGGAGTTTGAGGTTTTCAATTATTCCCACCATAAGAAGTCAGGGACTTTTCTGTGCTGTATTTTCACATAGGGCACTTTTGGGTTTTTTTGTTTTGTTTTGGTAACAGCTTTATTGAGATATAATTCTTATATCATACAAGTCATCCATTTAAATGGTCCGATTCAATGGTTTTTAGTATATTCACAGAGTTGTGCAACCATTACCACAATCAATTTTAGAACATTTTCATTACCTCAAAAGGAAACCTTGTATCCTTTAACCATCACCTACCATTCCCCCTCTAACCAGTGCTAAGCAACCATTAATCTACTTTCTGTCTCTCTGAAATGCTTATTCCTGACACTTCATATAAATGTAATCACATAATATGTGGTCTTTTGTCTCTAGCTTCTTTCACTTAGCATGTTTTTAAGGTTCGTCCGTGTTGTAGCATCTATCAGTCTTTCATTCCTAGTGATGGCCAAATAAGATTCCATTGTATGGAAATACTACATTTTGTTTATCCATTCATGATGGACGTTTGGGTTGTTTCCACCTTTTGGCTATTATGAATAATGCTGCTACGAACGTTCATGTACAAGTTTTTGTGTGGACATATCTTTTCAGTTTTTGGGCTCTACACCTAGGAGTGGATTCACTGGGTCAAATGGTAATCCTTTGTTTAACTTTTTGAGGAACTGCCAGACTTTTCCAAAGTGGCTGCACCATTTTGCATCCTCCCTAGCAGTGTGTGAGGGTGCTGATGTCTCCACATCCTTGTCAGCACTTGCTATTGTCTGACGTGTTGATTACAGCCATCCTCGTTTGTGTGAAGTGGAATCTCTTTGTGGTTTTGGTTTGCATTTCCCTAATGACCAATGACCTGAGCATCTTTTCATGTGCTTATTGGCCATTTGTGTATCTTCTTTGAATAAATATCTATTTGGATCCTCTTTCCAGTTTTTAATTGAATTACCTTTTTATCGTTGAGTTATAAGAGTTCTTCATAGTCTAGATAAGTACCTTATCAGATATATGATATATCAGATATATGATAGAAGTAGTTTCTCCCATTCTCTGGATTGTCTTTTCATTTTCTTGATAGGGACCTTTGTAGCACAAAAGTTTTTAATTTTGATAAAATCCAATGTATTTTTTCTTTTATTGCTTGTGTTTTTGGTGTCATATCTAAGAATTCATTGCCAAATCCAAGGTCATGATGATTTAGCCCTCTATTTTCTCCTAAGAGTTTCATAGTTTTGGCTCATACATTTAGGTCTTTGATTCATTTTAAGTTAATTTTTAAATATGGTGTAAGGTAGGGATTCAACTTCATTTTTTTTGCCTGTGGCTATCCAAGTGTCTCAGCATCATTTCTAGAAAAGACTGCTTTTTCCCCTTATCAAAAATGAATTGACCATAGATGTACGGATTCATTTTTGGACTCAATTCTATTCCACGGATTTATCTGTCTATTCTTATGCTAATACCACACTGTTGTACTGTTGTTTTATAGTAAGTTTTGAAATTGGGATGTGTGAGTCCTCCAACTTTGTTCTTCTTTTTCAAGATCGTTTTGGCTATTCTGGGTCCCTTGCCATTCTATATGAATTTTAGGATCAGCTTGTCGGTTTCTACAAAGAGGCCAGCTGGGATGTGTTGAATCTGTAGATCAGTTTGGGGAGTATGGCCATGGATCTCCTGATCCATGAACATGGGGTGTTCTTCCATTTATTTAGATCTTCTTTAATTTTTTAACACTGTTTTGTAGTTTTAAGAATATAAGATTTACACCTCCCTTGTTAAATCTGTTCCTAAGTATGTTATTCTTTTTGCTGTTATTGCACATAGAATTGTTTTCTTAATTTCGTTTTTGGGTCATATGCCTGTGTATTTTTAATGCTCAGGTTTTATCTCTGCTTTATTCCCCAGACGCTAACTGAGCACCCCTTATACCTCTGGGATTGTTCCAGTCTCTGGGGATTCAAGGATGAGCAATGACACTGGAATATGAGTTCCCTGAGGCAGAGACTGGCCTCCTGGTTCCCTGCGGTGAACTCACCAGTCTGACCTCATGTCCTTGGCTTTGTTTCAGGGTTTCTTGGAGGAGACCTGCCTCTTTTATGGACATTACACCATTGACGGGGTGAAATTTCAGAACTTCACGTATGATTTGCCCCTGGCCTATTTGTTAAGCACAATTGCCTACCTCACCCTGAGCCTTCTTTGGATAGTGAAAAGGTAAAGTTTATCTTCTCATTGTGTTCTCTGTGAATTGCCCTTGGTGGCTGGAGTTTATTGGAGGTCTGTGGACTCTGGGAGCTGTTGCCCAAAGGATGGGCAGAGTCCAGGGGTGGGCTCTGTGGGGAGAGGGTTGTGAGTGTGTTGGAGGCTGAAGAGACCTGGAGGAAATGGAGGCAGGATTTGGGAGCTGGAGCAGCAGCCTGGAGTTACTCAATCAGTTGTTATTGCACACACTCGCCAATGCCGTCCCCTCAACTTTATCTTTGATCTGGTGTGTACGCTAACCAGGTCTCTATTGGGTTGCAAATGGCAGAAACCCAGCTCTCACTAACAGAGGCAAAGGGGAATTGAGGGGCTCTGAGAACCAAGGAAGGGAGGACACTCCAAATTACAGAAAGGATTTAGGTATGGCTTTGAAACAACCAAAAGCAAGGGCTCCTTCATCTCTGATTCTCCTGGTGGCGGCTTCCTTATGTGGACTCCCTGGGTCACAGGTCCAGAAATCTTTGAAGAGACTTGTTGGCTCTGCTTCATTCAGGTACCCAATCCTGACCCTTCATCTGTGGCCACAGGGAGCAAGGTGTCTGTGATTCAACTGCTCAGCCCTCTGGCCCTTTGACTGTGGCCAGCGGGTTAGGATCATATGAGAACATGGCATTTCCCATGGTAGACAAGTGGTTTAGTGGGAGATGCCAATTCCCAAGAAAAGAAAAGAAAAGCATATTAATTACTTTATTACTAACCAACAACTGTCCCCAAAAAGTACAATGGCCCAAGTATAATAGAAGTTGTATATCTCTCTTACAGGAAGTTCTAAGTGGGGCACAGGTCAGTATGGTAGACTCTTTCTCAGTCATTCTGGGACTCAAGTTGACTGAAGTTCAGCCATCTTCAGCATGTGGTTTTGAAGTTCCTTTTGGGCTGGAAAGGAACACAACCATGGAGGAATATCACATGGAAGGTGTTTATGGGCTAGGCCTGGAAGTGATGCGCACCGCTCACATTCCATTGGCTACAGCTTAGTCGCATGACCATAGCTAACTGCAAGGGAGGCTGGGAAATGTCCCTGGCTGGCAGCCACTTCCCAGCACTAACACTGTACTATGAAAGGGGAACCACACATTTCTGATGGATGGCTTGTTCTGTCTGCCCCAGGGGGGTTGCTTGGCAGACAGGGTCATGGGTGGGCACCTCTCTTATCTACTTCATTGTCCATAGGAGAGCATGGGCAGTGCTATAAGCCATGGGGATGTAAAGCTCCTTATCATGGGCATAGAAGAGACTGGGATGGTGGGGACTGAGTTTGCTGTCCATGGAGACCAGAGTTCACCACCACAGAGATAGCCCCAGAGCCCAGCTGGGCACTTGTATCCTGAGTCAGAATCTATGAGATGAAAGTTAGCTGATATGCATCCATCCCCCACTCACATGGACAGTGTACTGATGAGCATGAACAGTGGCTCATTTTGAGGGCAGAGAGATCCTTGGTAATGAAATGTTGGTTGACTGGGGTTCTGGCCTTGCTGTTCTGTGATGGTGGTGGGGGCAGATCCCTCCACCAAGGTTTTACGGACCTGCAGTTTAGACAGTTTGGAGGGGCCCTCTTTAAGACAAAGAATACAAAAATATCTTTTGTAAATTATAAAAAATGTAAACAAGATCATATGAACACATTGCTGGAGGCACTCCCAGGGCCTTGGGAGGGGCCCTGAAGAAGAAATCAGCAGTATTAGCCTAACAGTGAATTCACCTCCGGGTCTTACTCAAGCTCCTCCGTCTCAGGGCCCTGATTGCTTCCTGGAGGAGACTGGAGGGAGGGCTGGGTGTGATGTAATGGGGAAAGCCTACAGAATGGCAAAGAGCGTGGACTTCGGGGTCCAGAGACCCAGGTTCAAACATCCCTTCACCTCTTTGAGCCTCACTTTCTTGAGCCTCTCTGTGAAATGTACACACCTGGGAGGTTTGTTGGAGGATTAACTGCAACAAGGCAGGTAAGGAACTTAGCACTGGGCCTGGCACCTTGTAGACGTTTGTTAAATTAAAATCATCATCATTGTCATCATCAAATTAGCCCCAGTTCTGCCACTAACTCTCTGGATCTAGGGAAATAATTTTCCCTTCTCTGAATCTTAGCTTTCTCATCTGTAAAATGTAGGTTTGGTCTAAATCAGAGGTTTTCAACTGAGATGGGACCTCGGAATCACCATGGAGCTTTATAAAATGATGCACTTCTAGACCCCACGTGAGACCTACTGAATTAAAAATCTCAGCTTATGAAACCACCTAGGAGTCTGCATTTTGGAAAAGCACCCGGGTGGTTCTGATATAAATTATTTGCTGTGAACCTTTGGCAGAATGACTGATTGCTGTAATTCCTTCCACTTCTATTATCTTCACAGCTCAGTTGCAAATCCTAAAAATACCCTGTTTCATCTAAAGCGTGTGGCATTTTGATGTTTTTATGTCAAGTGCCAGGGTATATTTTTTTCCATGAAAGCATCTGAATGAAAAACAGTTATGAAGTGTACAACAGAGTTGCATTTGACCTAAACCGGTGCTCACCAAATATTTGGTTAATTTACTATTTAAGTCATTTATTTATTCATTTATCCATCAATTGGATAGTGGCCACATTATGGTTCAGACATTCTAGATATATAGGTGGCAAGACAACCGGGGTATCTGCCCTCGAGGAATTTAGCATTTAGTCAGGGTAAGAGGCTACAAGAAGTAAACAGATGAATAAGATAATTGCAGATTAGCTTCATTGCTGTGAAGGAAATGGAAGAGACTAACTTGATGTGGGAGTCACAACTTCAGATGGAGTGGTGGGGAATCCGGGGAGGGGATGTTTGAGCTGAAGCCTGAGGGATGGGAAGGAGGCAGCCATGGGAAGAGGCAGGAGAAGAACCATTCTGGGAGAAGGTTGAGGGGATGGCAAGTGCAAAGGCCCTGAGGCAGGAGGAGAGGTTTGTGTGTTTATGGAAAGGGAAAAAAGCCATTGTAGTTACAGCAGAGAGGCCATAGGGAAGAAAGATGGCATCATGCAAGACCTCTAGGCTGTGTTAAAGAGTTTGGATTTTATTTCCAAACTCCAGCTGTGAAAAGAGCCATTGGATGGATGAAAGAAAATGATTTTCAACAATGAGATGCCTGGTTAGCTGACACATATATTTAGAATGGTCCAAAACTTGACCGCGTCGAAATAGACAGAAAACGCAGCCACGTGTAACTTTTTAATTTGAGACAAAGCCAATCCATGGGCCTGTATTCTGTTGTTGTTTGGGGGTCAGGTCGGTGGAAGGCTTCAAGGTCAACCTGATCCGGAGTGAGGAGCACTTCCAGAGTTACTGCAACAAGATCTTCGCCGGCTGGGACTTCTGCATCACCAACCGCAGCATGGCCGACCTAAAGCACAGTAGCCTGCAGTACGAGCTCAGGGTGAGTGCTGCCGGGTTCTCTCCCGCCTGCGGGGTCGCGCCCCGGGAGGCGGGGCGGCAGCTTGCAGAGGAGCTAGGAGGGGTCAGGCTGTGTCAGTGCTTAGTGAGTCTCCTCTATGTCACCTTCAAGAGCTTTCTGCGGAGAACAGCTTCCTGGGATGTTCAGGCGTGGAGCTGGTGAACTGGGGCTGGGAAGGGAGACGGAGACACGACAGCGGGTGGGGGGAGATGGTGTCTTCCCTCCCCCCAACCCCCCACCTGATACTGTTGTTTTCCCACCTGATGAGAGCCTGTCGTGAACACTGTTCATACCAAGAGCAATAGACTAAGAGGAGGTGCTATGGTGAAAAGATGGAGGGGAGAGAACATGAAAAAGTAGAAGAGAATTTCCAAACGAATAAGGAGAGAACGAATAATAAATAGCATCTTGACCAAACCCACCAAAAAAAGGAGGAGGGGCCGATTATATCAAAAGCTTAATAAAGTAAGATAGAAGGAATCAAACAAGTGTATTATTTGTTTAAAGAAATAATGCATACTACATAGAAGGAACGTCATGAATAGACTATTGTTCTGCCTTCACATTTATTGCCAAGTCTAATTGCTGTCTTAAATAGGGGGGTCGACCTTGACTTAGGCCTTTAGTAGACATGAAAACTAATAGGGCTTGGTCTGGGAAGGTGTCTTGGGGGAGATGAATATTTAAGGAAAGTCTTAAAGATGGATGGGGAGAGTATGATGACTCACAGGCTCCACCCCCAAATAGCCCTTCATCCCGGTGCTCACCAATGACTTTTCTTTGGTCCTCAGGCAGATCTGGAGGAAGAAAGAATACGGCAGAAAATAGCAGAAAGGACCTCAGAAGAAACGATCAAGATTTACTCTTTGAGACTGTTTTTGAACTGTATTGTTCTGGCTGTTTTAGGGGCATGCTTTTACGCAATCTATACAGCAACTATATTCTCGCAAGAACACATGAAGAAAGTAAGTATGCCATGCAAGTCAATTTAAGTCTTACTCTGGGCATTAAGCTAAGTGCCGTGCAAACCTCTGAGGCAGATACTATCATCATGTCTGTTTTACAAATGGGGATATAAGTTTGGCTAATTTAACAGAGAACCGACAATCAGAGGCGACCAATTTCCACTCTAAACAGAAACAAAAAGCATCCAGGGGCCTGCCCCGTGGCTTAGCGGTTAAGTGCGCGCGCTCCGCTACTGGTGGCCCAGGTTCGGATCCCGGGCGTGCACCGACGCACTGCTTGTCCGACCATGCTGAGGCCGCGTCCCACATACAGCAACTAGAAGGATGTGCAACTATGACATACAACTATCTACTGGGGCTTTGGGAGAAAAAGGGGAAAAAAAAAGGAGGAGGATTGGTAATAGATGTTAGCTCAGGGCAGTCTTTCTCACAAAAAGAAAAAAAATCATCCAAAATAGAGTGTTTGGAATTCCTCCTGGAATCCACAATATTCAAATCCCAGGCTTGACTTCCTGGATTTAATCCCCAACTCTAATATTTACTAGCTGAGGTCTCAGTTTACCTAAAATAACAGAGGTTTTGAAAATCCAAGTTGTTCTAGTACATCTGCTTCATGAGATCAATCATCAGGGGCCCAGGTTCCTTCTATCTTTGGTTCTGCCATCCTTAGGGTACGCCCTCTTCTATATGGTACAAGTAGCTCACCGTGTCCACATTCTAGCCAGTGGGAAGGAGGTGAAGGAGATGGGGAGGCACACCCCTTCCCTCAGGGGCATGACCTGGAGGTTGCACTTAAAACTTATGCTTACATCCCTTGGGCCAGAATTTAGTCAGGTGGCTGTACTTAGCTACAAGGGAGGCCAGGAAATTTAGTTTTATCCCAGATAGCCGTATATGTTATTACTCTGAAGAAGCAGAGAATGGCTATTCCAAGTCAATTGGTAATACAGCCTTGAAAATACTTTAAATTGCCCATTGATACAGGATACATGGATTTTTTTTTTTTTTTTTTTGGTTAGGAAAACTGGCCCTGAGCTAACATCTGTTGCCAATCTTCCTCTTTTTGCTTGAGGAAGGTTGTCCCTGAGCTAACATCTGTGCCAATCCCCCTCTATTTGGTATGTGGGTCGCCACCACAGCACGGCTTGAGGAGAGGTGTGTAGGTCCATGCCTAGGATCTGAACCTGTGATCCCCGGGCTGCCGAAGCGGAGCATGCAGACTGAACCACTACACCACCGGGCCGGCCCCCTACGTGGACTTTTTTATACTTCATCTTAATAAATCCAATAGAGAGCATTTTTCTTCCAGGATGGTACTGGATCATGGTTGCTCTATTTGAACACCCAAGGAAGGAGATAACTTATGTTTAGGGGCCATGTTGAATGACATATATGTTTTGTTTTGTTTGTTTGCTAAACATGTATAGTTAAGTTCTTTTTTTTCCCTTCCAGCTTTATTGAGATATAGTTAACATACCACACTGTATAAGTTTAAGGTGTACAGTATCATGACTTGACATACGTATAGTTGAGTTCTTAAGGTCAATTCATTTGTGATGCAACTTTCCTTGCTGTACTCCTGACCAGTTTTGTTATCTTCACAGGAAATTGACAAGATGGTTTTTGGAGAGAACCTCTTGATATTGTACCTGCCTTCTATTGTGATCACTCTGGCCAATTTCATTACCCCGATGATCTTCGCCAGGATCATCCAGTATGAGGATTATTCCCCAGGCTTTGAGATCCGGCTGACGATCCTTAGGTAATGCCTAGACATGCTAAGCAGGTCATCACTTGCCCACTCCCGTGCCCCTGGCGGACAGTGCTAATCAGGTGTGGCACTTTTTCCTGCTGAGCCAAGAATCCTCTTCAACCTTCAGACGGCCCCCATGAGTGAATCAGACTTTGCGCATGTCGTGAAATCTCTTTGACTGAAGCGTCTACTCAGCAGTATTATATTTTGGTTCATGTGTTAGAACATGGAGAACTGAGGACGTGGGGTGGGGCCCTTGGAGGAGGCGTTGCTCTGAAGGTGTTAGAAATAACGTGGGAGTTTGTGTGAGAAATACCTTAGAGTTTCCCCACCCAACCAGGTATTTATCCTCTGCTGCCTAAGGGTGTGTGGTCCCCAGAGGCATTAACTTCTCCACGCTTCCATCCCACTGCCCCCATGGGAGGGAGAGTTATAAGCGCTTGCAGTAGGAACCTGAGTCATTTGCTGGAATAGTGAGTGCCAAGCAAATATGGCCAGGTCACCAGCTGTGTGTGCTACAGTTGGCGTTTTATAATTTGTTGTAATGTCTCTTCTCGTTCTAAATACATATTCAGTTGCATAAAAAAAATTAAAAATAAAGACATAACACGTGTAAAGCAGGGTCCAGGGAGTTAATTAACACAAACGAGTTGAAGGGGACCAGGTGGGGACCGTGTGAAACCAGAGCATTTTCTTTCTGCTTCTCAGATGCCTCAGATTGTGTTTGCACCTTTTAAAAGCAATCATTTTATTTTGGAAATTTTCAAATGGAGCAAATGTTTTAGTGAACCCCCACTGCCCATTACTTAGTTTCTTTTTTTTTTTTTTTAATTTTATTT